AAAAAAAAAAAAAAAAAAGAGCAGCCAGTGCTTCTAACTGCTAAGCCATCTCTCCAGCCCCACAATCAGTTTTTCAAACAGAGGAACACGGAACTGATTGGAATAAAAAAAAGCAAACTTTGTTACCAAGATCCAAAGTTGACTCAAATAGAACCCACATGCAGCCCGGGCTCATCGAGAAATTAGGATGTAAGCCTTAACTGCATTAGGAATTTTTTCTCTTTTATGTACTATTTTCTGTGTTTTACTTTCTCAGCACATTTATTTCTGTGGTCTCCTTTCAAGCAGTAGGCAGAAGGGAGTTACTGCTCTGCCTGTGATGACTGGTCCTGATTACAAAGGAAAACTAACTGCACTGCCACGCCACAGTGGAGTAAGGAAGAGTGTCTGGATACAAGCTGTCCCATTGAGTGTATGCATTTAATGACAATGAAAATGACTTTGGCCTCTGTATCAGGTGAAGACCCACACCAGCTGAAGTGGTTCCTGTGGGAAAGGGAAGGAGATAAACAAACACCAGGTGCTGAGCCTGGAAAACCGGCACAGTAGATAAAGGCATTTGCCACCAAGCCTGATGATCTGAATTCAATCCTTGGGATCTACCTGATGGAAGCAGAGAGCCAACTCCCAAAAGTCCTCTGACTTCCACACACAGACAACACACACATGAATACAGAATAAATAAAAAGAAATTTAAATTTTATTTATTTATTCTTTCAAGACAGGGTTTTTCTATGTAGCTCTGGCTGTCCTGCAAATCACTCTGTAGACTAGGCTGGCCTCAAACTCAGAGACTGGCCTGCCTTTGCCTCCCGAGTGCTGGGATTAAAGGTGTGCACCACCACCGCCTGTCTATTAATTTAAATTTATTAATGAATTGTTCTATTTTTAATTCCCTTCCTCCCTCTCCCTCTCTGAGTGCAGATGCCTGCATCCCCAAAGAGGGTGTCAGAAGTTACAGGCAATTGTGAACATCTGGTGTGGGTACTAAAAATCTAACTCTGGATCTCTGCAAGAGCAGTAGGCACTGTGAACGGTGCCTATGGAGTCCAGAATAGGGTATCAGATACCCTGGAACTGGAGTTACAATTGTGAGCTGCTATGTGGATGCTGGAAACCGAATCCTGGTTCTCTACAAAAGAAGCCAGAGCTCTTAATCACTGATCTATCTTTCCAGACCCTTTTTAGCTAGGAAGTTTGGTAGGCAGTAAAAGAGGGACTAACACTGCCTCACCTCCCATAATCACACTCCACTCCCTTGGCCACACCCACACCCCGCCTCCCGTAGCTCCGCCCCAACCCCCGTAGCCACGCCTCCTAAGGATCACTCCAGCCCTGCGTGGCTCCGCCTCCTGAAAAACCAGCCCCTCTCCACCCTTGTGACCCCGCCTCCGCCGGTGTGGCCCAGCTTCCGACCTCAGCTCGACCTCGGCCCTCTTGGCCGCGCCTCCCGCGGCCCCTGGTGGACCTGAGCGGTCTCCCGCCTCCGCTATGGCCGCGCCGGTGACGCGGCAGGTCAGCGGCTGCGCAGGTCGGGTCCTGAGCCCGAGCGGCTCGGACACAGAGCGCGGGCAGCCACTGGCAGATGCCGTAGCGGAGCTGCCGGTGCTGGACGCGTCCGGGAGACGGGTGACGTTCGGCGCGCTGTTCCGGGAGCGGCGGGCCGTGGTGGTGTTCGTGAGGGTGAGCACCGGTGGGGCGGGACGGGAAGGGCCTCCCGGAGGCTGCCCAGCGCCTGGGTCAGTGTGAGTGCAGCACTTCGCCCGGAATCAAGCGCCTGAACCTTGTGAAACCTGGCTGCTGCCTTGCTGACGTGCTCTTATACGTTGTTGCCTTTCAGCATTTCTTGTGTTACGTCTGTAAAGAATACGTCGAGGATCTGGCCAAAATCCCCAAGAGCTTCCTCCAAGTAAGTTTCTTGAGTGAGCGGCAGTGGCGAGTGCGATGGGGTGAGCTGTGAGTGGGTGTCCCCTCCTCCATGCCCTCCTGAGAACGTACTATCATAATTTTTGTTACCTGTAAGCTGCCTGTGTCAAACCCAAATGTTGCGTAAGAATGCAGGCACACGCCTTTAGTCCCAGCACTTGGGAGGCAGAGCCGGGCGAATCTCCGTGAATTCGAGGCCAGCCTGGGCTACAGAGTGAGTTTCAGGACAGTCTCCAAAGCTACAAAAACAAAAACACAGTAACAACAAAAAAAGAAAAAACAAAAAATGCAAAATCAAAACAAAACACAGGCTTCAACTGCCTGATATTTTTGACCCTTTAATTTTATAACCCAAATAGTTATTCATTATAGGAAAATGTTGACATATCTTAAAAGTACAGATTTGTATTTGCCCATAAGTTGCAAGTTCCTTGACCCTGTTTTTCCTCAGTCCCCAGATATGGATGGAAGATGTGAGTGGAAGACATCCAGATATGGATGTGATGTGGATGTGGGAAGATGTGAAAATGTAGATGTGAAGATGTGAGTGGAAGACATCCAGATGTGGATGGAAGATCTGAGTGGAAGACACTGGGCATTTGTAAAACAGATTTATTTTCACCACACATTTATTAATTAGGATGTATGAGAACAAAATTACCTGTTCTGCCTGTCCTTCTATTCCTTTTGTTTACAATATTCTGAAGCATCTTTACAATGTAAAGGCATTACATCAACCTAACATTTTTAATATTATTGACATTGTTGATTTACTTAACATACAAATGGGTCTTGTTGTGATATTTTCATACATGAATACTTTGTTCTTATTTGCTGCCACCCCTTCTTGCTTCTCTCTTCCTCCAGAGCCACACTGATCTTTTCCTTTGCTTTCTTGAAACATGTCTTTATATTCCTTTACCCTCTCATTCCCTCCTACCCCTAGACCTATCCTCTTAGCCTCCTCTTTACTTTCATACCCTACATAAATACATGCATATAAATCTAAACGTATATTCTGCATGTGAGAGAAAACACCACATTTGTCTTATGTGGCTTCTTTGAATTGGCATGATGATGTCCATTTCCACCCATTTCCTGCAGTTATCATGACCTCATTCTTTATGGCTGATTGCATTTCCATTCTGTGTGTGTGTGTGGTGTTTTCATTGGTGATGGTTTTTTGGGTTGTTGGGTTTTGTTTGTTTGGTTTGGTTTTTCGAGACAGGGTTTCTCTGTCTGTTTTGGTGCCTGTCCTGGATCTCACTCTGTAGACCAGGTTGACCTCGAACTCACAGATCTGCCTGCCTCTGCCTCCCAAGTGCTGGGATTCAAGGTGGATTCAAGCTACCACACCAGGCTATCAAAATACAAAGAAATTTTAAAGTAGATGTATTTTTGGTGATTTTGAAATAGACAGTCACTATGTCATTGTGCTGGACAGTAAATTTCTAAAATGATCCCTCTTCCTCATGTCTAGCTGAAATTGTACCCTTTGAACAATTTTCTGTATGCTCCACGCTCTTTCTCCCAGCCTGTGATAACCAGTGTTTTTTTCTCTACTTCCATGAGTTAGACTGTTTGAATCCATAGGTATCATAAGTAGAATGGTCTAGTACTTGTCTTTCTGTTCCTGGCTTGTTTCACTTAGCATAATGTCCTTGGTGTTTTCACAAATGACAAAAAAAAAAAAAAAAAAAAAAAAAAAAAAAAAAAAAAACCAACTCCTTTTCCATGGTTGGATACTACTTCATAGGGATACCACACTTATCTTTATGCATTTCCTTGTCTTAGGTGCTGTTGATAGTGCTGCAGTGAACATGGAAGTGTGGGGTCTCTTTGCATGCGCATTTTCTTTCCTTTTGATGTATAACAACAGTGGCATTTCTGGATCATGTAGTAGCTCTGTCTTTAATTTTTTGAAGAGCCTGTGTACTGTTTTCATAACAGCTGTACTAATTTATTCTCATCAACACCATGCAAGGGTTGTCTTCATTCCATGCCCTCATTTTTACCTCTTTACTCTCTCCTGGGGTGAAGAGATATTCCATTTCTCTAATGATTAGTGATGATCAATATTTTTTATGTTGAGAGTGTACAAATTTGTATGCATGTGTGTACAAGTTCATGTGCATGGAGGCCAGAGGTCAACCACAGGTGTTGTTCCTCAGGTGCCATTCACCTTGTTTTTTATTTATTTGTTTACTTATTTATTTATTTGTTGGGTTTTTTTTTTTTTTTTTTTTTTCAAAATTTGGAAAATAGTTCATTCTTAATTACTTTGCGCCTTTCCTGGAATCACCTTGTTTTTTATATAGCATCTCTCATTGGCCTGGAGCTTGCTGATTTGAATGGGCTGACTGTTTTGGAAGCCCCAGATCCACCTGTCTCCACCTCCCCATTGCTGGGATTACAACACATGCAGCTGCACTGGCTTTTTTTGCATGAATCCTGAGGATAGAACTCAAATCCCCATGCAAGCACTGAGCCATCTCCCCAGCCCAAGAATTTTTCATATAGCTACTGGCTGTTTGTATGTCTTCTGTCCTTTGAGAACTGACTATTTAAGTCTTAGCCCCCTCATTACTGGAGATCAAATCCAGACCCTGTGCATACTAGACAAGTCCTGATCCCTAGCCCATTTTTGTCCATTTTTGAAACCGGGTTGTATTCTTGCTATGTTTGAATTCAGAGCATAGATTTAAATCTCTTGACAAGTGCATAATTCGCATGGGTTTTCTTAGTCCAGTTAGTAGGTTGTGTCTTTTCTCTGTTGTTTCCTTTGCTGTATAGAATAGCACAACCTTCTTTGTATGTTTCTTTTCATTGCTATGCTTTATTGATTTATATGTACATGTGTGGAGGTCAGGCAGCTTGCAGGAGTCAGTTCTCTCCTACCATGTAGGTCCCTGAGATGGAACTCAGGTCATCAGGCATGGTAGCATCTTTACTGTCTGAGCCAAATCATTGCCCAAACAGTGATATACTGAGTTTCTCCTTGTGTTTTCTTCTAGTAGTTTTATGTTTATTGTTTAAGTCTTGAAATTCTTACATAGAGAAAACAAATCATCTGAATTACTCACATATTGTACCATATATTTCTTTCTACTCATGCAATTTTGTTGTTTTCTGTTCTTCTAGAAGCCTATAGGTGGCATTAGAACAAAACAAAAGAATTGCTTTAGGGAAAGTTCTTAAGACATACTTTCTGATAATATGTACTTGTCCCTCTTTCTCCCAAAGGAAGCAGATGTAACCCTCATAGTGATTGGACAGTCATCATACCATCATATTGAGGTAACTATCTAGCAAACTGAGGCACCAGCATGTTAAATATGTTTCAGATACAAAAATTGAATTTGTTGAGCCCATTGGCGTAGTATCTGTTGGAGGAAAGCTGGATTGCCATTACTTTTCTTTCCATTGTTCTTACAGAAATTCCAATTATTCTTTTTTTAGCCTTTCTGCAAACTAACTGGATATTCTCATGAAATCTATGTTGATCCTGAGAGAGAAATTTATAAAAGATTGGGAATGAAAAGAGGTGAAGAAATTTCCTCCTCAGGTAAGACGTTTCACATACAATTGTCTCAAGCACTTGTGTGTTCTCACACTAGGGCATATGTGACTAGCGAAGCTATGTTTGATACTTTTCCTGTTGCTGTGACAAAAAAGGCATCAGAGGGGCTGGTGAGATAGCTCAGTGGTTAAGGACACTTGCTGCGTTTGCAGAGGACCTAGGTTCAGGTCCCAGCACCAACATATTGGCTCACAACAACCTGTAACTCCAGTTCTGAGGAATCTGACATCCTCTCCTGGCATCCAAGGGCTCCTGCACGTGCATACACACACACAGACACACACACCTACATACACACACACCTACATACATACGCACACACCTACATACACACACACACACACCTACATATTATTTTTTAAATAATAAAATAAATCTTTTAAAAAATTCTTAGCAAAGGGAATCTAAGGTATCAACACTGTTCAGAAGCCCAAAGGCCAGGGCTGGAGGGATGGCTCAGAGGTTAAGAGCACTGGCTGTCCTTCCAGAGGTCCTGAGTTCAAACCCAGCAACCATATGGTGGCTCTCAACCACCTGTAATGAGATCTGGTGCCCTTTTCTGGCCCGCAGGGACATATGTAGGCAGAGCACTGTGTACATAATAAACAAATAAATCTTGGAGAAGAAGGAGGAGGAGGAGGAGGAGAAGAAGAAGAAGAAGAAGAAACCCAAAGGCTCTTCTGAGATTCAGACCCTTAACTGTGAGCTCCCTGTAAAATTTTTTTAAATTTTACATATTTTATTAATTTTAGAATATACAATTGTACAGAGTAAACACTCCCAGAAAGAAAGGAAAGCTAATAGACAGCCTAGGATCACCTACCCAGGGGTGGCATACCACCCACAGTGCGATGGACCCTCCCACATCAATCATTTATTAAGAAAATTCCCCACAGACTTGCCTACAGGCCATTTTATGGAGGCATTTTCTCAGTTGAGATTCCCTCTTCCCAGATATGTCTGAGTTTGTATCAAGGTGACAAAAACTAACAGGACAGCAAGGAAAGACCAGAACCAAATCCTGCAATTCCGTGTCTCAGATCTGGAAGTCTTGGTGGACTCCTCTGTATTCCAACAAGCTTAGGCAGCCCCACCCATCCGGTTCTACTGTCTGCACACCTGTTGCCTTTCTGTTGAGCTGACTCCACCCCATGCCTGAGGCTTGCTTTTTATCTATCTATCTATCTATCTATCTATTGATATTAATTAAATGTGTTCATTTATTTGCCTAAGGCTTTCCTTCTTTTTGGTTTTTTGAGACAGGGTTTCTCTGTGTAGCTTTGGTGCCTGTCCTGGATCTCACTCTGTAGACCAGGCTGGCCTCGAACTCACAGAGATCCACATGACTCTGCCTCCTGAGTGCTGGGATTAAAGGCATGCACTACCACTTGAGGCCTTCTTTAGCAGATGTCCCACAGTCCTGGCATCTTTAGTATCCTGGGATTCCCATTGCAACCAAGTTTCACCTTCACAACTCTATGCAATGGCCTCTCAAGCTACTTGCAGGGAATGTGACACTGCCACACATTGCCTGGCCCCAGTGGCTCTGTGGGACATTGGTACAAGCTATCACAGTCTCATAACTTCTGCATTTCTTGTGTCCACAAAACCACATAGGCAATGCTGTGTAGCTCTACCAGCTCAAATTGCAGAGTGGCCCCCTTCTACAACAGTGATGATGACCTGAATCTTAGTTGTTAACCTGGGCAGACACCTGAGCAGTTGTTTTTGGACAGAGAACCCCTCAGTAGTACTGTCAGTTCAGGCTCTTCTTTCAGATGGATTTACATTTTCACAAGTCTGAGGCTCTAGTTTTGGGATCCTACCCTCAAAGCAGCATTCCTCTATCTGTGAAGAGCCAGAGGTTCTATTTAGTGACCCCAATATCCTTAACAGTCATAGCTTTCTTCTTGCACTGGCCTTGTTTGTGTCTTTGAACTTACTCACATCCCCTTCTTGCTGTATCATATCTCTGCCCTCCCCCTCTCACTACAGAGCTGACTACGAGTAGTGAACAGTAGCCATGCCACTGCCTGGACATTACACTGTCATGAGATGACCTCTGCCAAACAACCTAGTCCATTACTTTTAAGATTGGGTCTCCTCTGTAGTCCCAGTCTGACCTTGAACTTGTGGTCCTGCTGTGTGCCTCCTGAGTGCAGGGATGATGGATTCATCATCAAGCCCAGCTGAATCAACCTGTTTGTCTTTTTGTAGGCTAGACTTGGTTTCTGAAATACTAGATATGAGAAGTCAGATTCCAGTCAGTCATTCTCAACAATTACTGTGTTCTTATTGTGACACCCATGTGTTGGATACTGCTTGAGGAAAGATGATAAAGGACAGCCTCTGCCTTCCAGGGATTTCAGTGCAGCTTAGAGGCCTGTGATGGAGGAGATGTGTGGTGATACATTTGTTCCCCAATATATTGTGTACCCTAATAAAACTTATGGATCAGAGAACAGAACAGCCACTAGATTAGACATAGAGGCCAGACAGTGATGGCACAGGTCTTTAATCCTATCACTCGGGAGGCAGACATTCGTCTGGATCTCTGAGTTCAAGGCCACACTGGGAACAGATCCAAGCATGGGTGGTACACACCTTTAATCCCAGCACTAACCATAAAGGTCTGGAGGTCTGTACAGACAGACAGGAAATGACAGAGCTGGGCAGGAAGAGGAAGTGATGTAGCTGGGTGGAGAGAGCAAATGAGACAGCAGAACAGAAAGGCATACAGGAAGTAGGTCTCTTTGGCTGATGATCTCCAAGTGGTGAGAACATAGCTGACTTTTTCTCTGATCCTTAGATAAACTTTATTGGGCTACACAGATAAAATGTCACCACAGAGATGCAGGAGGGACAAATGCCTGTTTTGAGAATGTGAAAGAGAAGGGTCTGGAGGCAGTTGACTTTGGAGGTGAAGTCCCAGCTCACCATGACAGCTGCTGGTGGAGTGAGGATGGGAAGGGGTGCTCTAGACAAAGGCAGATGTCCAAAGCTTCAGGAAGTTACACTCATTTGAAGACATGCAGGTACTTGTCTCTGGCCAAACTAGTATGCACTCATACTAGCCCTGGATAGGCTGGGCTGGTTCACACTGAATTCAGGTTGACTCAGAGTTTGGATTTATCTTTGGGTAATCCTCTGGTGTTTTGTGGCAGCTAAGTGAAGGAGTCACAAAATGTTTGGAGGAGGAACAAGACCTGGCTAAGCCAAAGCCAGTGATGGTGACAAAGATGTACTCAGCCAAGGAGGCTTTACTAGAGATGGGGCTAGGAGCTGCTTGTGAAGCAGATGTGCCATGATATTATTATTACTATTACTATTATTATTATTATTATTTTTTTTTTTTGGTTTTTCAAGACAGGGTTTCTCTGTGTAGCTTTGCGCCTTTCCTGGAACTCACTTGGTAGCCCAGGCTGGCTTCGAACTCACAGAGATCCGCCTGGCTCTGCCTCCCGAGTGCTGGGATTAAAGGCGTGCACCACCACCGCCCAGCTTACTATTATTATCATTATTAATGAATAAGAGTGTTTTGCCTGCAAGTATGTCACATGGGTGCCTAGTGCCCACAGAAGCCAGAAGAGGGTATCAGATCCCCTAGGTGTTTATGAAAAACCATGTGGGTGTTGGGAATCTAGCCCTGGATCCTCCGGAATAGCAACCAGTGCTCTTATCATGAGTGGTCTCCCTAGCACCTATCCCCTGATTGACATGTTCTTTTGCTGGTGGTTTTATTTTAGTATGCTTCTTATTTTGAGACAGTCTCACAATGTAGCCCTGGCTGGCCCAGAACTTTCTGTGTACACCAGGCTGGCCGCAAACTCACAGATATCCTCTTGCCTCTGCTTCCCCTAGTGCTGGGAGTAAAAGTGTGTGACACCATGTTCCATCTTACTGCTGATGTAAGACTGCAACCTAAACTCAACTAAAACTGATGAGCCAGCACTCAGTTTTCACCTACTGGTGTAGGATCACAGGCCTCAGGGTTGGGCTCACGGTTTTCATGTGCGTTAACAGTCTTACCACATGTAAAATGTGTTTGTAAACCAGGCATGGTGGTGCACACCTTTAATTCCAGCTCTTGAGAGGCAGAGGCAGGGGAATCTCTGTGAGTTTAAGGCCAACCTGGTATTCAAAACTAGTTCCAGGACAACCAAGGCTACACAGAGAAATCCTGTCTTGTAAAACAAAACAAGCCAGATGATGGTGGCACATACCTTAAATTCCAGCACTTGAAAGGCAGAGACAGGTGGATCTCTGAGTTTGAGGTCCCAGCCTGGTCTACAGAGTTCCAGGATAGCTGAGGCTACACAGAGAAACCTGTAAGGCGAATTGCTAAAAGGTTTTATTAATTAAAAACAAAACAAAACAAACAAACAAACAAAAACCCCAGAGCCAAATATTGGGGTAAAAACTGAGATCACAGGAATAGGACAAGCCACAGCCAGCCTCACATCACCAACTCCTCAGCCTCCAGAGAGAGCCACATCCTGTATACCCAGGCCTATATCCTTTCTGTCCCTGCCATCTCACTCCCTCTCTCTGCCCAGCTACATCACTTCCTCTTTATGCCCAGCTCTGTCACTTTCTGTCTGTCTGTACAAACTTCCAGACCTTTATGGTTAACTAAGGCGTGTGTTACCATGTCTGGGGCTGTTCCCAGTGTGACCTTGAACTCACATAGATCCAGATGAATCTCTGCCTCCCGAATGTTAGGATTAAAGGCATATGCTACCGTTGCCTGGCTTCCATGTTTAATATAGTGGTTGGGTTTTTCTTCGGATCTCCAAGTAAGCTTTATTTATTAGAGCACAGATAAAATATCACCACAGAAACCTCTATCAAAAAAACAAAACAACAACAACAAAAGATACAAAACAAAACAAAAGGTCTTTGAGTTTCACTTATGTGACACTACATTTCTTGTCTCAAGACAGGAAATGTAAAGAAAATAAGTTAATTCCAAACCAAATGTATTT